TCAATTAATTCTAACTAGCGAATAACTCGGAATAAGCTCTCCTAATTTAATCCACTAGTTGCATTAGAATCTAGGAAAATAGACCGATCTAAGCCACAAACAAACAAGCTCGGTTCATATAACTTATGTTGTGTTATCCCTAACAATGCACGACTGTTAGTTGCTACAAGTGAAATAAGAACTACGACAATTACACGGATCGAAGTCTTAAATCTAGCAATTAACATGCAATCCTCAACTTAGGTGATCAAGCTAAATTAAAGAACACATATTATGACAAGAAACTAGAATAACACAATCAATTTTATACGACGAGTAAAACAAAATAAAATTGCATTAATCGAACATAGTCACCGAGGCTTCAACGTCCCTAAAACCGAAATAAATGTTTAGCTCATAGCTAAATAATAAAAACAATAATGATAAACCATGTTTTTCAATCAAAATAAAATAAAGAAAACAAGTAAATCAAACTCCTTTAAAAGTTCTAAATTCACGGCTGGAATGAGTTCGCATGCAGCAACAATTGGCCTTTATCTCCAATGTCACACACGGCTGTTCTCCACTTTCCCTCTTTCTGTTCACGCCTATTCCTCCCACAAAATGAGAGTCCCATTGCCTTGTAATTCTCTTCCTCAGCCCAACAATTTCAAGAGTCCACAGGAAATTAAATTCCCCTCAATCTCGGTCAACTACAAACAAATAATAGCACACTAACTAGAAATAAATCTTGCTGCGTGTGTTAAGCTGCATCCACCTCACTCTTTAATTAATTAGCCACCTCATCATTTCCAAGTCATCGAAAAGGCTTAATAACTGCAAAATTAAATACAAAATCCGAATATTGGTGTACGTCCGTTCACAAAATAAAATATGCGAGAAAAATTTAAATAATACAATAAAATCAAATACTCGAATATATAAATTAAACCACAAAATAGTACAAGTTTTCTCACTTATTATAATAATAATATGCATTAGACATTTAATGACATTTAGACATTTAGCACAAATAATAATAATAATAATAATAATAATAATAATAATAATAATAATAATAATAATAATAATAATAATAATAATAATAATAATAATAATAATATAAATAATCAATTAGGCAATTAGAAATTAAATATAAATAATAATAACAATAATGCAAAATAATTAATCTCAAATAATCTATAATCAAACGGGGTATTACAATTACACAATATAATACAACACATTGCACCTTATAAAACAAGACACTGCACCTACCAAAATTACAGTAATTATGCTAATCGATCGAATAATATTAGTTGGTTAAAGGTCGGATTTAGTATTTTTTTATAAATAAATAAAATAACCGAACATGCCGAATGATATGAGGAAACATAACGGTTTTTTTACATCTTTTATGAATTAACAATATTTTTCTATCTATATTTTTTATGTATTGCGAGTGCATTTTAGGGTTATACGACTTGCACATAAATGTATACCAGATTGCACTAAAATAAAAGGATACCCAACGAACATAAATTTTTACAAAAATTTCATATCATAGTTCGATTATTATTATTATTGTTATTATTAATATTATTTTATATATTGGTTATTTCAGTATGATGACATTTTTGCTTTTTCAAATAACTGAAATAAGAAACAAACTATATTACAAAATAAAAACTTATATATATATATATATAAATATATATATATATATATATTACATAATTGAAATAACCGAACGACTGAACTACACAAAAAATGTTATTATTTTTTATTATTATATTTTGTATGTGTATTTATTTCAATAAAAACTATAAAATATTAAATATTAAATGAAATGTTAAAATGTTAATTTGTAGTTTTGATTAATTACACATCTAACCATAAACTCAATTATAATTTATTAAATTTATTAAAATTATTGGAATTGTAATTAAGTCCCTGTATGATATCAAATTTACAGAATCAAATCATCTTCAAATTTACAAATCAATTCATCATCAAATTTACAAATCAATTAATCCCCAAATTATATTTTCCTTCCTGCATGATAGCTTCGATGGGAATCGGGCCACGTGTTATCCTTCTCGTCCGACGGCGGTGGCGACGTCTGGTTCGAGATCCGTCGGCTA